ACTAAATTTCAGTCTGACAGGAAAAATCTGGAATAATTTATTACATATTTGAATATGAGAAACTATATCTGCCATGCTCAGCATTTCCCCATTCGCCTTCTGGAGATCTATGCATCAGGCATCAGACCCTCACAGTATATAGTGTCTTATTGACTGCTCTTGTGGTGTGAAAGATCCCGGCTCTTTAATATGTATTCCCCGCTTTCTCCTCTGGCTGTGGGTGGGAATTAATACTCAAATGCTGCTGGAAGCCAGTCCCCCTTACAAATCATGTAATTCCTGTTACTGGAAGACAAACATGCCCTAGATCTAATCAGGCCTGCAGGAATCCCCTATCAGAGCATCACAGGTTCACTGTTTCTCCCGCTTCCTGACCGGCCTCACGAAATGCCGATTAGGCCGACCAGCAAGTGTATGCATTACACTGAACATAAATCTCACCTACACACTCCATTTCTAGATAACTATATATCTGTTAAAGATAGATAGACAGACGGTTGCAGAGTTTTAAGGGTGTTTCAACAAAAGGGAGAGGCTCAATGAATCAACCTCTGTCCAACACACTGGGGCACAAATCAATTGTGGTTACCTTTTAGTGCAACATATGAATTGCATGCATAAAAAATACATCTGTGTTTGAATGAATTGTGCTTGTTTAATCAACCACAGCTCAATATATTTAATATGCTTTTGATCTTGAATATCTTTTGTTTATCGTCAAATATCCAAGGACTACACTTGAACTTAAATGATAGAAATCATCTGTAAATATACTGGATTTCCTCTTTATAGTGTTCACTATAAAAATAGTGATTCTTAGACTACCAGTAATCCTGTTGAAGTTGAGCAGATATTTATTGGAAACAAATAAATAAAAAAATTAAAAAATCTGACAATGTTCAGTTAAGTAATGAATGTTATGTAATGAAGTATGGTCATTACTATATTGATTATTACATGCCTTACTGCTTTTTAAATTAATTTATGAATTAAATATTTATTTTGTATTACAGTAGTGTTTCCTAGACCAGCTGGGACCCTGCTGCAGTTGGCCAGATTTTTAGGGGAAAAATAAATACATAAAAAATTACCAAAAAAGAGAGAGAATTCCTATATTGATAACATGTCGTTTTAAAATTCATTTATAATTTTTAATTGTTTTGTAGTATAGTAGTGCTTCAGATATAGTGGCTAGATTTTAAAATAATAATAAGAAAAGAAAAGAAAAGAAAAGAAAAGAAAAGAAAAGAAAAAAATCCAACTGGATGAGAATTAATGACAATGTTCAATTAAATAACGACTGTAATGTTATTAATTATGCTTATTACATAACTTAATGTTTTTTTATTAATTTAATTAAAATAATTTTATTGTTTGTATTATTTTATTTCATTATTATTTATCAAATCAAATAAACTTTTACATTTGTAAATAAACTGATTTCAAGAACTTGTAGCTGTCCTATGTTAGTACTTCAATGTTCTACTCTTGTCCATGCACATGGAACAGATTGAAGATTGGTTGTGGCATTCTGTGCTGTCAGAGATTCCAGACCTGGGAAAGAACATCAAGATACACACTGAAAGATTGATTGATTGATTGCCAACAGAATGCCCTGGAACTACCTTTAGCAGAAGATAATGTAATTGAGCTAGTTTCACTGTGATGAGAGAGCCAGACAAATACCACTCTCCTGTAGCATCGCACAGACAAAAGCCTGCTTGATAGGATATTTCTTTTCATTGGTCATGTTCACAATGGGATGAAGTGGTCTTCCCGAGTCCCACAGGTGTGTTGTATGGTCCTGTCTGTTTGTCAGCCTAGAGAGAAGTCCCATGCTATTCACCTGAGCCCAATCCTCTGTGTAAAAGCTGATTGTGGCGGTGTTATCGACTTCTTCTTGTAATTCTCTGCTGAAAAAAAAGGGAAGTGGAAAGTTTTATCTCTGTGCGGCAGCAGTGGGGAGGGGTGAGAGTTCACTCTCTGTAAGCTTGAGACACTGAAAATATTAACGCCGGGACAGCTTTGCACACACAGAAAAGCCCCCGAAGACCTTCACTGCTCAGAGTAAGAGATGGAGAGAAGAATTAATGCACAAAAAACATGTGAGCACCAATCTGATATTGTACAGTGTTTCCAAGATTTTCCCCATTTAAACAGCTTATATACTTCTCCTTGGATCTTCCATGGATCAGCAACAGAAATGGATTTGACTGTAAATAAACAGTGTGAGCGGATTGACATGCATGGTTTTAATGATTACCAGAGAGCTGGCGAAATATTACGGTAGAATTGAACAATGCAATGAGAGAAAAATATATGTGGATTTATGGTGCTGTGCACAGATGCCGTTACAGAGCAAAAACTGACAAAATGGTGCATCCACATGCATTTAAGTTTCAATTTTAAAATTATTTGACTATGCAAATTTCAATAAATATAACATTTCTCACAAAAAAATTGATTTTAGTGTGTTTTTCCCACTGTGTGTTTACTCATAGGTTTCTTATTTCACAAATAAATTGTACTAAATTAAAATTGAATTTTTTATTTGCACACACACACACACACACACACACACACACACACACACACACACACACACACACACACACACA